CAGAAGCATTATTGAAGAATGAGAAGAACAGAAGTGTAATCCCAGAAGAAATTAGATAATGACTGACATTGCATTTAAATTTTTGAAGATCAAATTTGTCTGGAAAGAAAGAAGCTGAAAGAGAGTTCCACAAGCAAGAAGTGTGAGGAAAGAAACTGTTCACATAGAGTTTATGGTTTCATCTAGCCAATTCAACAATACTGCACTTAAATTCATAAAGTCTAGATATGAATGCTTTATAATCATATATATTTGATTCTGATGCCAGCAGGATGCTTGGGTATTAGCCTTGTATGCATAGCCTCTGCACCAAAGCTTATCCAAACCCAACCATTGAAGTTTCAGACACAATCATTTTGGAGGAGTTTTATATGGAAAAATGTGTGTGTTATATAGACAGAAATATAGGATGGCTATCTTGCACTCTTATACTTTTTGTTATGTCCGTTTCGGTGTTATTCTGTTCAAATCTGTCAGTGTATTCTTCTCTCCTTACATACTAAGTTTCATTGCTCAACATAAGACAATTGAACTTTCTAAGAATCATGAAGGCTTTACTTAAGACCTGTGGGGAGAAACACCAGGCTGTTCAGAAACCAGTTGACTTCCCCAACTGGTTTCTGAACAGCTTCCGAGTTGCTTGGAATTGGATCAGCTGACTTGTACAGCTGAATTTCTCCAGGAATATATTGCAACAGTTTCGAGTTTATTTCTTTGATTGTATCACTGTTTGCCTTGATTGATTTGTTTTCTACAGCTTACCAACCTTTTTCAGGTTATTTAAAGCCAGAAAATATTTTTAGATTGTAAGAATTTTTTTTTTGATATGATAATGATTTGCTGATACAAATCATGCTATTAACCATAGCCAGGAGGAGAAGAAGTAGATTCATAACTTTTCCAAGGATATTTGTGCATAAGGGATTGTATTTGGAACTTGGCTTCCTGATTTCCAGTTCCAAGCTTAGAGCACCTGGTATTCCCAAGCTGTCAAACATCTAGATACTGACCAGCTTCAATGTTTCTTAACTTCTGTGATCATACAAGAACTGGTGTTTCAACATGATATGGCCATAAGCAAAAACAACTCATTCATGGAGCTACTGAATGCTTTTCTTTTCTAACATTTAATCATCTCATTTTCATAACTTTTTTTCACAACACTTTACAAATAAAATGTATAAATCAAATTTTTTTAGCCCTTAAAGTTCACTTGAAGTTTTGAAAGAAAAAAAGCTAATTCAATCCCAAATTGACCTCTGGTTACCTCGGAGGTCAACATTACCTATCCTATCATCTTTTTCTTCTTAACTCCCCACACATACCAATTTACATTGAAGGATGCAAGTGTTTGACTGCAATACATATCATCAAGACGACAAACTAATTCTACAACAAATGTCCTCAGAAACAAATTTGACCATATCTGCCTAAAAAAACAATTTTTTACTTCTTAGAAAATTCAGTTTGACATGAAATGTCATTATCTGCTCTTTCATGACCTCAGTCCAGCTGGAATAACCTCTAATGTCAATCATAAATTTCCTGTTATTGCTCAACATTTTTGAAAAACACTGGGTCCTTGTGACTTTCCATTTAGCTATCATATCCAAACGTACATATATATACAAACTTTAACTCCAGAAGTAACATTTTTGAAGAAACATGTTTTTTTGTGACTCTTATTCAAAAAATAGGTTGGATGTAAATTTAGCTTGAATTAGGGCTACATTTTATTCCAATACTTATTTGTGTCCTGCATATGACAATAAACTACATCCGCATCCTGTGTAAGATGTTAAACTATATTCAACAGCAAGGCCTCTGATCAGGTGATTTTGAGGAGCATAGAACCTTTTAATTGCTGGTGTTCCCAGGTCCTCCAGGGTCCCAGCTATGGACAAATAGTTAGCCCCAAATACTTTTTTGGAAAAAATATTACCAGAAATAAAAATCTTGTCAACATTAAAATACCCATTGAGGTTGATATGCTGTAAAACCAACCAGACCAAACCAAACCAAACTAAACTGAAACAATACTTATCATAAATATTATACTTGTATACTTTATAATTAAGGTGTGAGTTAAGAAAGAAAATAGGAAAATTACAAATTTGCTTAGTTTATGTCATTTTCAGGTTTACAAAATGAAAGTTTGGTTTGGTTTAGTTGTTTCTTTAGTGGCATATCAACCTCTATTGATTATTGTAATGCTGAAATTTAAATATCTTGCATGCAATTTTATTTTTTTAGAGATAATAATTATTGATACAAATCTTACTAATTAACCTATAGCTGGGAGGAGAAGAGATAGATTTATACTTTTCCCAAGGGGATTTGCATGTAAGTACATAACGAACCAATTCCAAGCCATTATTCATTATACCATCCACACATCCTGGATTACAGCATCTGGTATCCCCAAGTGGTCACCCATCTAGGTACTGACCAGGCTGGATGTTGCTTAACTGCAATGATCATACGGGAACCGATGTTTTGACATGATGTCGCTGTAAACCTATGAGAGCAAAGTAACAATAAAGAAACTCTGACTCTGAAAATAAAATAACAATACAGGTTGTCTTCAACTTATGACATTGTTCCATCCCTATGATGTGTCGTAATATGATTTTCCATGTAAGTCAGAATGTAGCCATTATATCACTTCCATGGTAATGATTTTCTTCAAAATACCATCATCAGAAGAGGTTACACTTGGCTTAGGAGCCATATTGAAGGTCAATAAGTTCCCACAAACACAACACAAATGAAAGAGTGAAAGCACAACAATCCAATTTGGCATATAATCAGGAAAGAAGATTAATGTGAAAAGGATGTATACAAGGTGTGCAGGCTAGAAAATTTTCAATCTGACTTACTTCCTCAGATCTTATCAAATGGATTAAGAGAAATTGATTCTTTTGATGTCTTGCAAAAAAAAAAAGAAGTGACCTCAATTACCTGTGAGGCAAAAAGGGGGATGTGTTTATTGGAATCCCATAGTTACAAAAGATTTGCCTTTGGAATTAAATCAATTTTAATTACCACTGAAGCTCATTTTGCTATGACTATCAACAAATGGTTATGGTAAAGGCAATATTAACCGTTTCCTTATAAGAATATACTCAGCATTCATTGACCAAGCAACCACTGCCATTGTCAGTTGAAATTTATAAAATCTTTCTGATCAAACAAAATTTCAGGAAAATAGGTTTCTCAAGTCTCGTAGCTGTTATCACTCTCTCCAGTATTGATGAGGGTTTTCTTCCTAACCTTTTATTTGAAGTAGTTTGGAATGTCAACATCTTGATTATGTCATTATTTCTCCTCAAGTTACATGTGCTATCCATTTTAGTTGTTGCTTCTGTTGAAAGTCCCCAAGTTATGTGGTTTCTGTTTTTTTGTGATGTCAATTCTTACTCGTTGCCACTTTTGTGATGTCAACAAATACTTGTTGTCACTTTCATAATGCTTGTTGTAGTAGAGACTTTATAATCACTGATACAACTATAGTATCTATTGAATAATACTGGTGTCAGACACCTTTAAATAATCTCGTACTAATAGTACTTGCTTGATAATACTCACTCAAATAGTAATCCATATAGTGAAATAGTATAGAGAATAGTGGTTCGTATAATAATAGAGGATAATGTAGAAATGCAGATAAATTAGACACATGCTACCTCCCATATACACATTTCCTCAATGCATATGGTAATTCATTACTAAAACTCAACAAAGGTGAAGGTAATATTAGCCATTTCCTTATAAGGAAACATTTGGCATTCATTGACTGAGCAGCTAATATTACTGTCAGTTAAAATTTATAAATTGTTTCTCTTAAAAAAATCTTTTCAGGAAAATAGGTTTCTCAAGTCTAGTAGCTGTTATCACTCTCTCCAGTATTGATGAGGGGAGCTTCCTTCCTAACCTTTTATTTGAAGTAGTTTGGAATGTCAACATCTTGATTATGTCATTATTTTCTCTTCAAATTACATGTGAAATCCATTTTAGCTGTTGTCGCTGTTGAAAGTCCTTGGGTAATCTCATTTTTGTTATTTGGTACAGTTCTTTGTATTTCTGTAGTGCCAGTTCACAAGGTTTGAAGAAGTGTGGCCTTCACCAAAAACCCAGAGTCTTCACTTCCTCAAAGGCATTTTAACCATGGATCTTAGAATGCGGTTGAATACAGCTGACAGATATTTCTGAATGTGTTTGGTGCTATGCATGGCATCCATATGAAAGTCTTGATCCAACAAGACTATTTAAGAAACATGACTCTAGTTTTAGGTTAATATTTTTGTTTTGTAGCCATTTGTATTATTTAATTAAAAAAAAAAAATCTGTCAAAATGGCTGGATGTAATTTGAGTTGACTATGCTTTTTCCATCTTACTCTCCGTTAGTTGTTCCAGTGTTGGATCTCCAAATAACCTTTTTCATGCTGGTACTCAATAGTAGAAACCTTCATCTTGTGTACTCAGAGAAAATGCATACTACTCCCAAATCCCCTAACACTGGGGTAAGTTTGATTGGTGAACCCCATACAGTGCTTTGTTACTCTTGCTATCTTACCAGCATTTGCTTTTTCCTATCTACATTTATACAAGTTGCAAATTAGATTAAGTACAAATGACTATTAAAGGATGAAAAATTTTTGCAAAAGGTTTTGATGTCATTCTGGGGGTCTTTGTTTTGCTCATGCTAAGTCTCAAAAAACACAATAAAATTTCCTATTTTTTATTCATAATGCTGAATGTCTTAAAATTATCCAACTTTTAACAAGAAAAATCTTGTTGCTTTCTTCTTTTATGTGTTGTGTCCCTTCAGAACATAGGTGATCATGGCTCTTCACTTCTCCTTATCCCTTGTAAGCTCTCAATAAGTTTTGTCCCTTTGTTGTTTCCTCCCAGACCAGGTTCTGTCATCACTTGCTTAAGCCCACTAGGTATGTCATGCATTGCTTTCCCTTGTCTCTCCTTCCCTTGATTCATCCTGTGGGTATCAGATTCTCTAAGCCCTCCTTCCTCATTATGTGTCCCAGAAATTTCAGCTGCCTCTTCCTGATATTAAGCATAAACCTCCTCCTTGTTTGCAACCTCTCTAAGATCTCATCGTCGCTCACACGCTCGGTCCATGATATCCTTAGCATCCTTCTGTAGAACCACATCTCTGTCGCCTCGAGTCTCTTTTTCATCTTTGAGGAAATCGTCCAACATTCACTGCCGTAAAGAAGGACAGATGTCACGTAACAGTTCAGTATTCTTTTCTTTGTTACCAAAGAAATCCTCCTGTCTCGCAGTACTCTGCCCAACTTTTGGAATGTGTCCTTGGCCATCCCAATACGCCTACAGATCTCAGTGTCGCACTTACCGTCCTCTGTCAAGACGCTTCCCAGATATTTAAACTTCCACATCTGCTTGATTCTAGTGTTCCCGACCTTCAAATCGCATTTCGGGCTCATCCTTTTACTGATGACCATGCACTCCGTCTTCTTGTAGTTTATGCTTAGTCCTTTCTTCTCATTCTCCATCGCTACCTTCTGTCGGAGATTTTGGAATTTCTTTTCCGTGTCTGCTATCAGTACTGTGTCATCTGTGTATCTTATGTTGTTAAGATTGTGGCCGCCAATGCTAAATCCCAGTAGGGTTTCCAATTCTCTCAGGATTGCTTCGCTGTATAGGTTGAAGAGGTCGGGTGAGAAGACGCATCCTTGCCTTACGCCCCTTTCTATTTTTGTATATTCACTGAACTCGTTCCCTATGCGTATGCTGTTTGCTGCCAGTATAGGTTCTTGATTATTCTGATATGTTTCTCGAATATATATAGAGAGAGGTTGGTTGCTCAGTTACATTAGATCCTTGTGGAGTACTTTGTCGAAGACCTTTGCGTAGTCTATGAAACATAGTTACACGTCCTTCTGCATGTGTATCGCTCTTTCTGTGTATCATTCTGACGCCCACTGATAATAAATCCTAGTCTGGTCTTCAGCTCCCTTAGGGTAGCCTCGCTGTAGAGTTTGAATAAATATGGGGAAAAGACATCATCCTTGTCTCTATTATTTTTGTGCAGCTACTCAAATCATTTTTTTATTTCGTATGCAGGCGATTTACTCCCAATACAAATTCTGGATTATTCTAACATCCTTTCCAAATAGATCGAGTTTTCCTAGGAGTTCAAATAGATCCTTACGCTATACCTTCTCAATCGCTTTTGCGTAATCTATAAGTGCACATCCGTCTGCATTTGTATTGATCTCTCTGAAATCAGCCTAATAATGAATATCGCTTTTCTTGTTACAGTGTCCTTGAAAAAGGCTCACTCTTCTTGTCTTATGTCCAGTCTAATTCTGTTTTTGATCAGGATTCGCGTCATTGATTTGGTTATGTGTCTCATGAAACTGATTGTCCGATGGACCTTGCATTTATTTGCGCCTGCTACCTTAGAAAATGCTATAAAGATGGATTTAGTGATGTCCTCCGATATGTCGTCACTGTTGTATATTTCTTTTAATACTTCTGTGATCTTGTCGATTCCGAAAAACCATCTCAGGCTGAGATTATTTCTGATACGATTCCGTCGGGCCCTGCTGCTTTGTTCATGTTCATTTTGTCCAGTCCTGATCTTACGTCATCTTTTAATATTTCTGACCCATCCATATTTTCAAGCGTTGTCGATTTCTCTTTTATTGTGAAAAAGTTCTCTGAAATATTCGCTCCACCTTTGGAATATTTTTCCCCGTTTTTTGTTATCAGTGAATCTTAATATAATGAGTCTGTTAATTAGCTTACTTTTCATCCTGTTAATTCTCTTATTCTGTTGTGCATACTTGCTGTATTTGTGTTATTATTTCTTTCTATTTTTACTAACTTTTCATTGAGCCGTTCATCTTTAGCCTGCCTGCATTTGTTTTTAACTTTTTGTTACAGGCCAGTAATTACGAAAAAACACTAAAGAGCGGATTATACGCTCATAATTACGAAAAACATGACACGGTGGATTATACGCAAATAAAATACACGAGGGTGCAAGTATAAACCTAGACAGCTATAGCTTGGTATTTTTGTAAAGAATTAAATGTCAGTATCAAAAGAAACACACGATGTTAAAGAAAGAAAAAGACTGTTATATCTGTAAAGATTTAAACGCCGATATAAAAAGAAAAAAATATATCCGTCGATGTATTGGTAAATGATTACACGCTGATACGAGTACCTATGTAAAGAATTACAAATCATTATATACATAAAACAGAAAGTACACTTTAGGAACTCCTTCAGAAAGTACTAAGATAGAAGATAGAATGTATGGTCGTTAGCAAGAGGAAGAGCCCAATATGCAAATTAAAAATTGGAGATACCTGAATTGGAATTGTTCTAACAGAGGACGGAAAGCGCGGCAATGAAATCTGAAAGTGCATTGGAATAGTGAATGGTACCTCTTAAAAAGCTAAGTAACGTATTAAGAAACAGGAAATTTTCGTTAGAAACAAAGAAAA